AAAAAGAGGAAGGAGTGAAAGAGAGAAACACACAAAGAAGAGAGAAGAGAGAGAGAAAAACAAACAAAAAAAACGAGGAAGAAGAGAGAGAGAGAGAAACAGAAAAAAACGAGGAAGAAGAGAAAGAAAAAGACAAAAAAAAAAAAAACGAGAAAGAAGAAAAGGAGAGAAACAGAAAAAACAAGAGAAACAGAAAAAAAACGAGAGAAACACACACAAAAAAGAGGAAGAAGAGAAGGAGAGAAACAGAAAAAAAACTAGGAAGAAAAGAAAGAGAAACAGAAAGAAACAAAATCGAAGGAAAAACGTTATAAAAAAATGATTTTGTGTGAATTACTATTATTTTTTTTAATAATAATAATAAACAAAAATCACGGAACAAGCTGAACGAGACATGACAAAATACAAATAAATGAATGCATAGATAAATGAACAGATAGATAAATAAACAAATAAAAAAATAAATAAAATAAACAATAAAGTGAAGAAACGAATAAATACATAAACAAGTAAATGGATAGACAGATAAACACATAAATAAACAGATGGATACTAAAACAAACAAAATAAATGAATGGACACATTAACAAAAAATAAATCCACAGATAATCTAACAAACAGACGTATAAACAAAGACACGAACAAACAAACAAACAAACCCTTAAAAAAAACAGACAACAAAAACAACAACAAAAAAACAGACACAAACAAAAGAAACAAACACAAACAAAACAAAAAAACTCTGAAAAAATCCAGACATCGACAGATAATATACAAGCGGGAAAATCATGCAGATATTGCCTGGCGGATGTTGCAAAGGAGCCTCTGCAACGAGAGCCATCATGACAGGAGGCAGAAATCAACAAGATGAATTAGCATGATACATTGTGAATTACATTGGCCCGTTGCCTTGCAGTGTCTAATGTACGTACTTGAATGTAATATTAACTCGAGAGAGAGAGGGAGAGGGAGAGAGGAGTAAAAGAAGGGAGAGGGAGAGGAAGGGAGGGAGAGGGATAGAGGGAGAAATGGAGGGGGGGGGGAGGGAGAGGGGGAATGAGAAGGGGAGAGAGAGAAGGGAAGGGGGAGGGAGAGGGATAGAGGGAGAAAGGGGGGAGGGAGAGGAAGAGGGAGAAAAGGGGAGAGAGATGGAGAGGGAGGGAGAGGGAGACGGGGGAGGAGAGGAGTAAAAGAGGGGAGAGGGAGAGGGGGAGTGAGAAGGAGAGAGAAAGGGGGAAAGGAAGAGGGATAGAGGGAGAAATGGGGGGAGAGGGAGAGGGAGAAAAGGGGAGAGAGAGAGAGGGGGGATGAGAGGGAGAGGGAGAGGGAGAAAGGGGGAAGAGGAGAGAGAGAGAGAGAGAGAGAGAGAGAGAGAGAAAGAGGGAGAAAGAGAGAGAGAAATAGAGAGAGAGAGAGAGAGGAAGAAAGAGAGAGAGAGATAGATAGATAGATAGAGAGAGAGAGAGAGAGAGAAAAAAGCAATAAAGAGAAAGTCTCTATGTATGATTTAAGATCTGATGTGACGTGTTCTTAATATGCTCTACTTGTCTTTTGAAACTTTTTTTTTTTTTTTTTTTTTTTTTTTTTTTTTTTTTTACAATGGAATATTCGGAAACCAACTAACACATTTTAATGATGCTTAACAGGGCACTTTTTTAAAAACAATTATAAAGGCGAGAAAAAAAGAAAAAAAAAAGAAAGATAGTGTATCTGGTATTTCTAAAAAGTTAATGGTAATAAAGATTGTAGTAAAGATAATTTTCTGTTAAGTAATGGAATAATAAAAAAGTGCTTTAAATTTTCACATCATGGTTGAGAGTGCAATTCTAAGCCAGGTTTATTTAAGTTCATCCTCTTCCATCTTTTTTCTTGTCCTCTGCTCTTTATTTCTGTATATATATAAATAAATAAATAAATATATATATATATATATATATATATATATATATATATATATATATATATATATATATATATATGTGTGTGTGTGTGTGTGTGTGTGTGTGTGTGTGTGTGTGTGTGTGTGTGTGTGTGTGTACGTATGAATGTATGTATGTATGTATGCACGTGTGTAAGTGTGTATGTTTATGTGTGTATGTCCGTGTGTGTGCATGTATATGTATATGGATATGTCTTTGTGTGTGTATGTGCGTCTGATTGTATATCTGTGTCTATGTAAATATCTATTCATTTGTATATCTATCTACTTATATTACACCCTTTACGTATGCAAATATGTATGCAAGTTTGTAGGTGTGACTATAAGTATATACACACACATACATATATTCTCTTCACGAATTTTTATTTTTTTCTTTCTTTTTAATCTTTTCTTTTTTCTTTTTCTTTTTTATTAAGTTCCTTTGTGCTACACTTACCCTCTTTTAAAAGCCGGAGCCCAAACTTGACACAGCGTCGAAAATTTTGTCAGTGACACCCACCATTCTCCTGTGCTTAAAGGTTATATTTATCAACATTTCAGATCACAATTTAGCAAAGACTTGTTTTCTAAAGCCTATTCTTAAGGGCTTTTTGCCGCAAAAGGACGGTACATGTAGTTTACTGATACATACGTACGAAAGTATACGTACTCGATTTTACGTGGAGGAGGAGGAAGGTGTGTGTGTGTGTGTATGTGTGTGTGTTTATGGGTGTGTGTTTGTTTGTGTGTGTGTGTGTGTGTGTTTGTGTTTATGGGTGTGTGTGTGTGTGTTTGTGTATTTGTGTGTGTGTGTGTGTGTGAATGTATGTGCGTATGCGTGTGTGTGAATGTGTGTATGTGCGTGCGTGTATGTATGTGTGCGTGTGTGTATGTATGTGTGCGAGTGTGTGTGAGTATTCATATATGTACATATGTATGTATATATATGTACATACATGCATAAACATAATACATCGCATATACCCATTCTCCTTGTCATAATTTCCGATGTCATTTGCATACGTAGAGGTCGCCTTGCAATTGCATTCATGATTTGACCCGTGGGTGAAAAGACCTTAAGGACGGATGCATAAAGAAAGGAAGGGAATTGGAAGTAGGGAATAGGAGGAGGGAGAATAAAGGGGGAGAAAGGGAGGGCCTTGGAAGAAGGGAAGAGGAGGAGGAAGAATAGAAGGGGAGAAAGGGAGGGAAAGGAAGAAGGAAGAGGAGGAGGGAGAATAGAAGGGGACAAAGGGAGGGAATGGAAGAAGGAAGAGGAAGAGAGAGAATAGAAGGGGAGAAAAGGAGGAGGGAGAATAGAAGGGGATAAAGGGAGGGAATGAAAGAAGGAAGAAGAGGAGGGAGAATAGAAAAGGAGGAAGGGAGGGAATAAAAGAAGGAAGAGGAGGAGACAGAAGAGAAGAGGAGAAAGGTAGGGGAATAAAAGAAGGAAGAGGAGGAGAGAGAAGAGAAGGGGAGAAAGGGAGGGTAATGAAAGAATAGAAGAGGAGAAAGTGGAAGGAAGGAAGGAAGGGGGGCGTAGGAGTGAATAAAGTAGGGTTATGGGGAAGGGAAGAAAAGTAGATGTAGAGAAGGAAAAGAAAAGTAAAAAAAATACGATGGGATGGGGGGGGGAAGGGGGAAGGGGAGACAAGGAATTAGAAAGGGGTTATAAAGGGAAGAGAGGAGAGAAGGGGAGAGGAGGAAGGAGTAGGGAAAAGAATTGGAGAGAATTGGAGGAAGAAGAAGGGAGAATAAAGGCTGGGAGGTAGGAAGGAAAGGGGGATTGTCGAAAGGTAATAAGAAAGGAAGAAGAGAGGCGGATAAGAAGAAGGGGAAAGGGAAGGGAAGAGTAAGGGAAAGGGGAAAGGGAAGGGGAAGATAACAAGGAAGGGAAAAGGGGAGAAGAAGGGATGGGGAAGAGAATGGGGAATTGGAAGATATTGGAGAATGGGAAAGGGGAAAATAATGGGGGAAGGAGAAAGGGAAGAAGAAAGGGAGGAGAGAAGCAAGGAGGGAAGAGAACATCCTGGAAGAGGGGGCAAGGGGGGGAGGGGGAGAGAGGAGAGTAGAAGAGGGGGGAGGGGGGAGGGGGGAGGGGAAGAGAGAAGGGGGGGAAGGGTGTAAAAGATACCGCTTGGTGCCTGGTGTATGTTTTTTTTTTTTTTTTTTTTTTTTTTTTTAATGATAGTGTGACTCAGCTAAGATTTGGCGCCAACTGGAGGGGGAGGAGGAGGGGGAGGGAGAGAGGGGGCGGGGGGGGGGGGGTGAGGTAGGATATAGAAGTGCTCATTTTTTTTTCTTATTTTTCTTTTTCTTCGTCTGGGGTGGTGTTTGTCTCTGTCTTTGTCTTTCTGTTTTCTTTTTCTTTTTTTTTCTCTCTCTGTCTTTATCTCTGACTCTCTGCAATCACCCCGCGTTATATTAATATATTTATACGTGTGTATGCACATGTACGGTAAATCCCTAATTAAACAAAACAAATATGAAAAAGAATAAGTATAACCACAAAAAAAAAACAAAAAAACACAGAAACAAACACAAAATTATTAAATAACAAAAAAAAACGACAGAAAATAACACTAAATACATAAAAAAAGACAAAAGACAGTCACTTAGCGCACGGAAAGCGCGGGAAAATCATCCCGATCGCTACACCTCCGTCGGCGTCGCGCGAGGGGGGTGGGGGAGCGAGTCCAGCCGAGGCCCAGACGCTCAGGAGACGCGGGTCGAGGCGGGTCTCCTCTCCGCTCCCTTTAGAGGAGGGGCGTGACTCGCGGGCGTCGATTTGGCGATGTGTAAATTGACTTTTACTTTATCTGGGGGCCGTCGATGCTGGTCTGGCGTTTCTTTTTTGTTATTTTTTTTCTCTTGGTGTATACATATAGATATATTTTTTCTTTTGCATGTGGCTTGCTGTCCCTGTCTGTCTGTCTGTCTGTCTGTCTCTCTCTCTCTCTCTCTCTCTCTCTCTCTCTCTCTCTCTCTCTCTCTCTCTCTCTCTCTCTCTCTCTACATGTATATATATATATGTTGCAGAGAGCCAAGAACCGGTGGGTTTCACTGGAAACGCTTGGGATCTTTTTGTGGTACTTTATTGCATCTTCGATACATCTTGAATTCTTCTTTTTACATGCAATTCATTACCATCCATTTCTAGTCCAATTATTTCCCAATTATCTCCGTTAAACTGAAATGAACAAATCTTCCACTAATACATGCTTGACATAAAACTCTTATTTCACACAATATAGCTCAATATTCATATTACATTCTCCTTCAATTAGGTCTTTATATAACAATAGATCATTTACTTATACTAATATAAAAATATATCACAAGATTACAAAGATATAAGCAGATATATTACCTCAGACACCTCACTTGGCTTCTCTGAGTAACAAAATGGCTCCCAATGTTTATGATGATTAGTTATGCAAATGCCCTATAGATGTCGTACACCTTAGAAAACGATATAAGGGTATACTCATCTATTTCATACTTAACCTAATGTTAGTAATATCACAAAGCATAGGAACTGATTGTTTATAACTAAGTATACATTTTGTCCCTGCAGTAACATGGCTCCCCTAAATTGTATGAACAATTTACCTTAAACTCTAATTACATTGTACTTATATGAGCAAAATGTGGAATCAACATCTATACTACTGAGGAACAATACAATTTTGATATTTGAATAGGCTCTTTGGCGGGGACACCCCACTTCCACTATAATTCAATCAGGTTCTTTACATACAGGATCAACGTGAAGTGGAATCAACAGGATTTGAACTGACTCAACAAATTTCCATTGTTCCATAGAGGAATGGTCTTTAATATGCTGCACTCGGTTAGCAACAAACACATGGAATCTCTTAGCTTCGTTTGAAATGTAACCAAGTATGACTTTGCTATCGGTCCAAAAGTATTCTTTTAGTTCCTGATAACCTAACTCCTTCCTTAGCATAGAGCTAATTCGAACAGCTACGACTGCAGCTGTTAGTTCTAACCTAGGAACAGTTATGGGCTTCAATGGTGTCACTCTAGACTTTGACATGACAAGTGCACAATGAACTTGTCCCTGCTCACTTACTTGCCTTAAATAAGAGCACTGTCCATAACCATGCTGACTAGCATCAGAGAAATGATGCAGTTCCAATGATTTGACCTTTCTAAACACATCAGGCTTGTAGCATCTAGGAATCTTTAACTCTTTCAACTGAATCAGATCATCTCTCCATCTTCTCCATTGTTGTTTCAAATTATCTGATATGTCATCATCCCAGTCTACTCCATCTTGACACAAGGTTTGAAGTATTCTTTTACCAATCAATATAAAGGGTGAGACCATACCCATTGGATCGAAAACAGAACTCACCGTTGACAATATACCTCTTCTAGTTATTGGTTTGTCATTAATACTAATTCTGAACTGGAATGTATCTGATTCTATACACCATTCTACTCCTAAAGTTCTCTCTATTGGTAAGGCTTCACTAGAGAGATCTAAGTTCTTTAAACTTTTAGCCTTTTCCTCTAAACTTATTGCTTCTAGAACTTCTTTCTTATTTGACAAGAACTTGTGCAATTTGAAGCCACCCTTCGAACATAATGCTTTACTATTCCTGATTAAAGCTATGGCTTCTGCAGTTGTAGGTAAAGATGTTAACCCATCATCTACATAAAATTCATTTTTAACAAAGGAGGCGGCTTCTGTACCACATTGCCATGCATAATCATCAGCAGTGGCTTTCAGTGCAAAACTTGCTACACTTGGAGAAGATGTAGCCCCAAATAAGTGCACTGTCATTCTATATTCTTTGACAACTGAATCAGGATTTCCATTTTCCCACCACAGAAAGCGTAGTAGGTCTCTGTGATCAGGCTTTACCTTTACTTGGTGGAACATTGCTTCTATATCACATGCAATTGCTACATGTTCCTTTCTGAATCTGCACAATACGCCAATCAAGTTATTTGTCAGATCCGGACCTTGTAAAAGATTCTTATTAAGTGATTCATTCTTATACACAGCACTGCAATCGAATACTACCCTAATTTTGTCAGGTTTCTTTGGATGATACACACCATGATGTGGTATATACCATACTCTTCCATCATTGAAATTTGGACCCTGGTATGGTGCCTCTTCTGCATAGCCTTTGTCTATGAGATCTTTCATAAAGGCAACATAGTCCTGTAGAAAACCATTCTTTTGCTTTAGCTTCCTCTTTAGACTCATCAACCTACACATTGCTAATTCTTTACTATTTGGAAACTTGACCTTATCATCTTTAAGAGGGAGTGGCAATTCATAATGCCCATCTTTTAGTTGATGAATTCCATCTTTCATTTTTCTTAAGAAAATCTTGTCTTGATACGAAAAAGGAACATTTCCTGTCTCCCTTTCACTGAAATCAAGCTCAAACAATTTTCGAACTTGTGCAAAATCAATTATTTCCTTTACTTTAGTTGGTGAGGAAAGAAAGCTACATTTTGTGTCACCATTAATGATAACCTTATTGACTATTACTTTGCTAGCTAGAACTGAATCTGAGTCACTTGTGTCTTGACAATCACCATTGACTCTCCCTATTATACTCCAACCAAGCAAAGTTCTCCTTGCATAAGGCTCGTCATCTTTCCCAGGAATTAACTCTCTTGGTTTGATGGCACGGATACAATTTAAGCCAATCAGGAGCCCAACTTCAACACTTCTATCGTATGGCATCAATTCGTTTGCTACTCTCTGTAAATGAGGCCACCCTTCTACACTTTCTGGCCTTGGAATTTGATCATGTCTGGCTGGTATATTCTTCCTTGAATAAGTGACTGGAAGTGCAATCTCTATCTTTTCATTTTTACCACATACTATTAGTCCTCTAGTCTTTGTACTTTCAATTGTTTCTTCGCCTGTCACTGTTGTTAACTTTAGGTGTACCTTGGAGCCTAGAATGTTTAGCTCATTCATGGTGGATTCTTTAATAAAACATGCATCTGACTGTTCATCCAATAATGCATAAACCAATACCTTTTTACGTATGTTACTTTCATGATGTATCCATACTGGTACTATCATGGAATGCATCATATCCTCTGATTTTCTCAATATCTTTATTTTATTGGAAACTGCACAATCTTTGAGTTCCTCATTAACTTTCCTGGAGTTTACCTTGTCTTCATTTATATTAGTTTCATTTGACAATGTTACTGTATTTCCAGCCTCTTGTTCCTTATACATTTTGAGTAAGGCTTCCCTTTCTTTTATTCTTTCAAGTATAGCCTCATGAAGAGATGTTGGATGACGTCTCTTACATACTGTGCATATATTCTTTCTTTTGCAGTTTTTAACAATATGGCCATGTTTTAAACAACCCCTACAAAGAAATGATTTTTGGACATATTCAAATTTTGCCTTATTATCAAGTCCATTAAACCCTTTACATTTATCAAGTTCATGATCAGCCTTGCAAAAATTACAATATGGTTTGTCTGGACTTTGTCCCCTGTCATCTCTATGTACCTTTGTTTCTTTTACACCTGTTGAGTTAGTCACAAACCTTTTTGTCCCAGACTTGTTTAATTCTGGTTTACCCTTCTTACTACTCATTGAAACATTGATATTATGACTCTGATTCCTTGTCATTACTGCATTTTGTGATGAGATTGGATGGCGAGCTTTCTTTGCCTCCACTTCTATAAATTCACAAAAAACTGAAAATGGAGGGTAACCTGCATCACTTGAGGACCATTTGTAAACTACAGAATTCCATCTATCTATAAGAGCTGGGTATAACTTCTGTAACATTTTACCATTTTCTTGAGGATCATTTAAAATATTAAGGTAGTCTGTTGTTCTCATTACTGTTAAGCAATTCTTTAAGAAGTCTGACAATTCCTGTAGTGCATGACCATCCTTATTTGAAATCTTTGGCCATTCATTTAATTTACTTCTAAAAGCATTTGCCACAATAAACTTATTTCCAAACCTATCCATTAATATACCTTTAGCCTCAAGATAAGCTTCTTCTTTGGGGATACGAAGAAGTCCTTTAATGGCAGCCTTAGCTTCCCCACTTGTATAGTGACCTAGATAGAAAAGTTTCTCTGCAGGTTCTGTAACTCTTGATTCTATAAAAATCTCAAAGGTTTGAAGCCAGGTTGGAAACTCCAATAAATCTCCACTGAAAATTTCTGGTTCTAGTTTAGGCAATTCACTTTTACTTTTAGATGATAAAATATTTAATACATCTTTGAGTACATTAAGGTCTATAGGTTGACTTGATCTACCTTGCCCAAATGATGCATTCAAATCTTGAAACTCTCTTTTTGGCTCAAAACTCTTTGTTTGTAGCTTAAGCTCTGGACTTGCTTTTAAGAAGGTATTCTCTAATTTAGACACCTCTATCTCTAATTCACCCATACCTGATACATCATTAGCAGCTGTTTCTTGTTTTGGTAAAGTAGGATTTACTTTCTCAACCTCTGTCAATTTATCAATAGATTCAAAATATTTGTGAAGATGAAGTTCTTTACTATCATCTAGATCTTTACTTTGAGACAATTCTAGCTGATTTTCTTCTAGACTGGCTTTCTCTACTTCTTTTTGAGATGGAAACCTATTTCTCATAAAAAGAAACTTTTTGTACTCATATTCTTTTTCTTTCATGATCCTCTGTTGATTTATCACGAACATCTTATACTCTGTTTCCTTTTTATGAAGCTGAAGCTCAATTTGTAGCTTAGCTAATTCTGCTTGTATTCTTTCATTCTGTGTAACATTATGCATAGATCTCTTTGTTGAATGGGAGTGCTTTGATGATCTACTTTGTTGTGAATTTACTGAATTTGTTTCTTGTTTTAACTCATGCATTTTACTCTCAATTTTTTGCATACAATTATTGTGCTCCTCAGTCTCAAACTTTAACTCTTGTAACAATTCATCCTCAGAACTTGGATCTACTTCCATTAACAAGTTAAAGGCATTTACAACTTCTTTAAACTGTGACTCTTCTGCCTTTCTATGAACATTAAGTTGATCCAAGCATACTACACTATCAAGACTTGGTAATATCTCTGATAATACCTTTTTCCATGCTAGCTTAGCAGATGATAACCTCTTTATATACTGTGTTATTTGATACTCACGCCCTTTTTCTGTTAAAACCTTTTTCCTAGCACCTTTCATTACCTCACTGGCCCCAGTTACCTGAGGTTGGTCACCTACAGCTTCTTCAGTAGCACTCATTATTACAACTACTATTTGTCTACTGACCTATATGGAACTTAAAACACACAATCTATACCTATTAGTTAAAAGTTCACTAGCCTTTGGGACCTGTAGAAATGAAGAGCTTCTTTAAAGAGCAGAAATCTTCCAGTAATTTATAGGTTATCCTCTTGCCTTTGGATTCCCACGAACATTCACACCGTTCTTCTATCCTTCTTGACCTTGAATTATCTTGCAAGATGGGTTGATAGATGTGAATCCTCTCACGAGCATCCCCACTGAAGTATGTAACTGCTGCTTACAGGAGGTCTTGAATCTGAACTCATGAGGATGTGAGTTTAACTGTAGTTCTGGACTGATCTTTTACTTTTGCATGTTTAACTGCATGCAGAAGGTCTTGAGTTTAACTGATGCGATGAGTTTAACTGTAACTCAGTGTATCCATCTGTTGTGGGCTGAGTTTAACTGAACCCAACTAATTTCAACTGCATACAGGTGTATGAGTTTACCTGAACTCATGAGGATGAGTTTAACTCAGCTCAGTAAATCTAACTCTTCTCAACTTCATACAGGTGTATGAGTTTAACTGAGTTTAACTGTTGCAGAGAGCCAAGAACCGGTGGGTTTCACTGGAAACGCTTGGGATCTTTTTGTGGTACTTTATTGCATCTTCGATACATCTTGAATTCTTCTTTTTACATGCAATTCATTACCATCCATTTCTAGTCCAATTATTTCCCAATTATCTCCGTTAAACTGAAATGAACAAATCTTCCACTAATACATGCTTGACATAAAACTCTTATTTCACACAATATAGCTCAATATTCATATTACATTCTCCTTCAATTAGGTCTTTATATAACAATAGATCATTTACTTATACTAATATAAAAATATATCACAAGATTACAAAGATATAAGCAGATATATTACCTCAGACACCTCACTTGGCTTCTCTGAGTAACAAAATGGCTCCCAATGTTTATGATGATTAGTTATGCAAATGCCCTATAGATGTCGTACACCTTAGAAAACGATATAAGGGTATACTCATCTATTTCATACTTAACCTAATGTTAGTAATATCACAAAGCATAGGAACTGATTGTTTATAACTAAGTATACATTTTGTCCCTGCAGTAACAATATATATATATATATATATATATATATATATATATGTATGCATTTATGTACGTATATATGTGTTTACATGTGTATATGTATATATAAATATAGATATATATATATATACATATATATATATATATATATTTATATATATATATATATATATATATATATATATATATATATATATATATATTATATATACGTATATCTATCTATCTATCTATCTATCCATAAATACATATATACATATATATACATATATATATATATATATATATATATATATATATATATATATATATGTGTGTGTGTGTGTGTGTGTGTGTGTGTGTGTGTGTGTGTGTGTGTGTGTATGTGTGTGTGTGTGTGTGTGTGTGTTTATATATTCTTTTATTCAACCACTTATCTATTCATTATCAAAATGCACTTTCAATTACTTTTATTCTCCGACTGTCCTCCCTTCGCCCGACCTATGACATTGACTTTTTCATCGTTTTATCTTTTTATTATTTCTTAATCTCTCCGCATCTGTGATTGTTATTTTCTCTTTCTTGTTTCTTGTGCTTGTTCATGTCTTTGTGTTTGTTTTTGTTTGTTTGTTTGTGCGTGAGTGTGTGTGTATGTATGTGTGCGCGTGTATGCGTGCTTGTGTCTGTGTGTGCGTGCTTGTTTGTGTGTGTCTGTTCTCTTTGTCCCTCCCTTCCTCTTCCTCTTTCTCTTCCTCCTTCACTCCCCTTCTTCCATTTCCCACATCGCCCCCCCCCTACCTCTCCCCCACCACCCCCCCCCCAAAAAAAAAAAAAAAAAATCAACCCACACAGCAAACATCTTACTGTGACGTCATCACCCCCTAAACTCAATACATCACGCATTTAAGTTCTAATTTCATGCACTGACCCCTGGGAAAAATCATGCAGATTTAAGACCTGACAGATATTAGTGGGACTCATGTGGTATATCATTATCGACGAAAAGGAGTCAATAGATCTCGTTTTTAGTGGTTGTATAAAGTGTATTAGCTATGATCTATTACTTGGAAATGGTAATAAACACTTGTATTTTATAGTGTGTGTTGCTGAAGGTTCATTATGCAGATGCTTTGTTCATCACACTGGGTTTTGAATACTCGAAATCAGGAACGTCTGTTGCTAAAATAAATGAATAAATGGAAATAAAAGTGATAACGAATGTATTGATGATAGCAATAATGATAATATTAATGATAATGATAAAGATGATGATGTGATGATACTGATAATAATGATAAGGGGATGGTAATTAGTAATAATCATTAATTATATTAGTAATGATGATGAAAATAAAGATGATAATAACAATGATGATGATAATAATGATAACAAGGATAATAGTAATGAAGATTATGTTAATCAATGAAATACATTTATTTCTTATCTAAATTACCATCGATTTATTTTCTTGCCACGAACTTGATCATTTATGCATGTTAAAGATAAAGATACATCGTCTAAAACACACACACACACACAGACACACACAAAAGAAAAAAAATATATATCAGTAAAGAATGGATATATTTTGGCTGACATTTCTGTATAATAAACAACACATGAAATACAATCCTTATATCATTATTTAGTGAATATAATCTATGTTCTTTTAATACTCATGAATCCGCTTCATGAGTCACTTTGGATTCGATATTCTCAGTTATCATTTTCATTATTAACGTTATTTTTATTGTTGTTATTATTAATATTGTTATTATCATTGTTACTATTATCATTATTATTATGATTATCATTATTATCATGATTATTATTATTATTGTTATTAACATTATCATTATTATAATTATCATTATTATTATTATTATTATCATTACTATCATTATTATCACTATTAGTATTATCATTGTTATTATTATTGTTATTATCATTATTATCATTATTATCATTATTATTATTATAATTATCATTATTATTATTATTATTATCAATATTATCATTATTATTATCATTATTATTACAATGAAGAGGAAGAGGAGGAGGATTACCATTATCATTATTACTATCATTATTATCTCTATTACTATTATCATTGTTATTATTATTGCTATTATCATTATTATTATTATTATTATTATTATTATTATTGTTATTATTATTATTATTACTATTAGTATCATTATTATTATTATTATTATTATATTACCAATATATGTATATATATATATATATATATATATATATATATATATATATATATATATATATATATATATATATATCGTCCATCCTGACCAAAGTCAACCACACACATAGAGAAAAGAAAAATAGGTAAATACAAAAATAAAAATAATAGGTGCTGTATTCGTGCAAAAAAAAATAATAATAATAATAAAAAAAAAATAATAATAATAATAATAATAAGTTCGTCCAGTAAAGTAAACCTTGAGCTTTAACCTGTCAGAGAGATAACCTCCAAGTGTCAATAGAAGTTCACCCTGATAAAAGAGGTAAAAAAAAAAAAAAAAGAATAGAGAGAGAGAGAGAGAGACTTAAAAAATAGATGTTTCACTTTTCCTTTGTTCTTTTCTCTCTTTTTTATCTCACTTTTCCCTTATTTCTTTCTCTTTTTCCTCCTTTCCTCTCCTTTTTTCGAGAATACTTTGTTTATTATTTTCTGCTTTTATTGCTTGTTCCTTCTTTTTCTATATTTTCGTTTACACGTTTCTCCTTTTCTTTCTCTCTCTCTCTCTCTCTATCTCGCTCTTTCTTTCTCTCTTTCTCTTTTTATCTCTCTCTCTCTCTCTCTCTCTCTCTTTCTATCTATCTATCTGTCTAACTATCTATTTATCTATCTCTCTTCATTTTCTTTTCATTTCTCCTCTTCACTCTATTCTCTACCCCCTTTATCCCCCCAGCTTTCCTCTTCTCTTATCTCTCCTCCCTTCTTTATTCCTTCCTCCCTCTCTTCCCTCTATGTGATTCATGAATATCATTTGCTTCGCCTTTCATTGTAATATCTAAGTCTCTAGTACCTTCTTTTCTCTCTCTTTATTATTATTGTTCTATTTCCCTTTTCTTTAATTTCTTCTTCTCTTTTTTTCTATTTTCTCTCGTTTCATATCTTCCTCTGTTTATTGATTTTTATGATCGTCTGTCTCTTTCTTTCTACCTTCTCTTCTCACGCCTCTTCCTCTTTCTTCCCTTCTATCTATTTATCATCTTATTCCCCTTTTCCTTCTCAGCTCCTTTATATTCCTTTCTTCTATACTTATATCTTTGTCCTCCGCTTCTTTCTCCATTTACTTTTCGTCGTTATTCTCTATCCTCCTTTCACCTTTCTTCACCCTTTTCTCCTCCCATTTCCTCTTCCTCCTCCTTTCTCTCTCTCTCTCTCTCGTGTCATCTTTTTCTTTCTTCTTCCTCTCTCTCTCCTTCGTGTCATTTCTTTCTTTCTTGTGTCATTTCTTCCTTTCCTGTGTCATTTCTTCTTTCCTTGTGTCGTTTCTTTCTTTCTTGTGTCATTTTTTCCTTTCTTGTGTCATTTCTTCCTCCTCCTTCCTCTCTCCTCAGTGTCATTTATTACTCTTTATCGTTCTTCTCTCTTCGTGTCATTTCTTCCCCCTTCTTCTTCTTCCTCTCTCCTTCGTTTCATATCTTCCTCAGTGTGAAGGAGAAGAAGGAAGAAGGAACTAGCACGAGGTCTTATATCCCCGCCCCCCCCCACTCCTCCTTCCCTTCCTTATAGGATCCGAACCCCCTCTCCCCCCCCTACCCTGCCCTTTCCTTATAAGATGTCATTCCCTTCTTTTCTCTTGTCTTCTTCCTCCTCCTCCCTTCGCCAACCCTCCCTCCTCCTCCTCCTTTCCTCGACCTTCCCTCCTCTTCTTCTCCTCTTTCTTCCTTTTCCCTCCCTCCCTCCTCCTCCTCTTTCTCCCTCCTCCTCTTTCTCCCTTCCTCCTCCTCTTTCTCCCTTACCCCTCCTTCCTCCCCCTTCTCCTCCTCCTCTTCCCTCCCTCCCTTCTCCTCCTCCTCCTCCTCCTTTCCTCGACCTTCCCTCCTCTTCCTCCTCCACTTTCTCCCTCCTCCTCCTCCTCCTCTTCCCTTCCCCCCGCCATCTGTTAAATGAAAAGCCAGATTGATACGAAAGAAAGAGAGAGAAAAAAAATCAAATAAAGAGGAGGTAGGAAGGAAAGGGTAAGGAAGGGATTTGATAATTTAAAGGGATAAAGGAAGGGGGTGAGGGTGGGATTAAAGGCAAGTGAGGGGGGTGGGGGGGTTGTAAGTGGATAGGAGAAAGTGAGAAGGGAAGTGATTAAAACGAAAAGGGAAGAAGAGAAGTGGAGGATAGGAGAAGGATGGAAAGAAAAGATAAAGGGGACGATAGGGAGGGGAGAGGGGAGTGGGCACGAGGGTTGAGAATACAAGGGGGGGGAGGGGGGAAGTGAGGGTAGAAAGAGGCGTGGAAAGAAGGGAGGGAGTGAGCAAGCCAGGGGGGGGGAGGAGAAGAGTAGTGTATGGGGGGGGAGGGAGGGAAGGGAGGGAGTGGGAAGGGCAGTGCAAGGGGGAGAGGGGGAGGGGGAGAGGGGGAGGGAAGGGTAAAGGGACGTACAAGGGGGGGGGGGAGCAGTACGAGTTAACAGGGTGGAATTAACAATGTTCAATGAAGCTCAACGGAAGAGATTTCATTGTGAGTTCCTTTTCTTTTAATTCACTTTTTATTTAATTGTTGACAGCTGAAGAAAAGATAAAGACATGAACATTATTATCTAATATTGTTATAATATATATATATATATATATATATATATATATATATATATGTATATATATATATATATATATATATATATATATATATATATATATATATATGTATATATATATATATATATATATATATATATATATATATATACAAACATTCATACATACA